TCTCTGGACAGGTGGACTGAACTGGCCTAGAGGTAAGGCCTGTGAACTAGATTCCTGACCAGCCTGTGGAATGGCGCTTTGTCTTGTTTCATACACAGCACAATTGACTGTTTCCTGTTGGCAAAAAGGGCTGAGGATTCCGTCCAGTCTGGACGTTTTAATGATGGAATGAGCAAAAACAAAACAAAAAACAACCCAGATACAAGACTGCTGTGGCAACAAGGTTCCGGCTGAGCTTGAAGACAAAGGAACAGCATGGACAGGCTACAAGGTTGAATACTTTCATCTTGTAAATCACTTTTTTATTGGGATGAAGATGAAAGGATATACAAAGTTAACAGCAAATGAGTACCATATAATTATGGACAGAACATACTGTATCAATTTCTTCTTTCTCCTACACGCAATACGTGTGATGAATCCACTTGAAATGCAGAATCATAATTAGTGATGCAAGCAGACCTTTCGGCTCATTTAATCCAACATCGTATCGATGAAGGAATCCACAATGAGAGGACCTCTGACAGAAGACCATCGTGGCTTGCGCCTCTAGAGGCCTTAATGCCACCTTAATCTTACTGAATTGCTTTCCTTGGCATTTCTGCAAAACAGCACCGAGATAACTATCTCTGGGGTCATTGGGGGAATTTCCCATGTGCCCTGGGCATCCTTATTAGGATTTGCTGTTTCAGATCATGGAACCTGGGGGAAAAATGGATTGGAAATGAGGCCAAGGTACCACATGCTAAAGGCTCATCGATATGGAAAGAAGCTGGGTCTTCCTGGGCCTTATTCCAGAACCCGTCCGTGTCCTGCTTTTGGCCTTTCCCGGGGACACCCTATAGCCAAGCATGTGCTACAGGTAGAGGGCATCACCTCTTTCTTGGCCCCATGTCCTGCCACTGTCATTGTTGTGGTCCCTGAAAAGGAAGCTGGGAGCCATATTTTTGCATTTCAACAGTAACCATACTGCCTTTTTTGTTCCCAGTCAAGTCTATAGACCTGCGCTCATCTCCCAGCTGGAGAAAGAAGATCATCTGTTTGCCCAGGACCCAGTGGTGGGATTCAGCCGGTTCGCGCCGGTTCTACAGAACCGGTACCTAATTTATTATCAGTTCTGCAGAACCCTTTGCTGGCCTGCTGAAATCCACCACTGGGCTGAGGGCTCCCTCGCGCTCGCCCTGCCCTGCGCACGCCCTCCGGCCATGGCCACTGCCTCCGGCTCCGCTCCGCCCGCGCCTCACCTTGCCTCCACTCTCCTCCAAGTGCCTGACCGGCTGGGGGAGCACACTCAGTCGGTGCGCGCAGGGACTAGTGCGGTGCGGGCACGGTGGGCAGAGAGCGCAAGGAGGAGGGTCCGGGGCTGCTCTGCCGGTAACCCCTTTGTCGCCTCTGCCGCCGCCGCCAGTCCGCAGCGCAGGGGAGAGCCCCCCTCGCCCCCTCCGTCTCCCGAGGGACCCCTCCCGGAGCGCCCAGGGTTCCCCTTCCTCTCCTCGGAGCACCCCAACAGGGAGCTCCCACCCCGTCTTCTCACCCCTTTCCGGAGTGGGGAGACGGCTGTTCGGCAAGAAGCCACTCCTTCTATGCGCGCGGCAGGAGCAAGAGTTAAATACTGTATATATGGTCAAAGCCAGGGGGAAGAAAAAAAGTGGTGTGAGCGGGCGCTTCTTGGTTTGTGCAGCTGGGAGTTGACATCTCTGGTGCTGCAGGAGGAAATTTGCAAGCCAGTGAATTGGGTTGTGTGGGGTTTTTTTCTTTTCCTTGTCCCTTTCGATGTCATGTTTGCTGCAGATAAGCAGTAACAGATCTTTTAAAAGGGTGCAGCCTAAAAATTGTGACCTTTCAATGTTTAATTTCAGAGTGAACATAGAAAGTAAACTTAAGTGTAGAGCAAGGCATCTTTTAATCCGGCACTATAGTTGGGAGCTTCATTTGGTGGGTGAGGCTACAGCCTAGTGCAGTAGAATTTGGATAATAATTTTTTTTTTTTTTAAAAGAAACAGCTCATGAACAAGCAGTAGAAGCATCTGAAAAGGTGGAAAATGCTTATTACGTATTTTTGTTTCACTCCTTTCTCTCTGGAGCCGCTCGGGGGAGCGAGACTCTCTCCCTTCCTGCTTTCCAAGGGACTTCTCGCCTATGGCGAAGGTTTCCCCTCCCCTCTTTATCCCTTTTATATTTTCTCTCTCTCGCTTCCCGCTTCCTCCTCCTCTGTCGGCAAAGCCGAGAGCCGGGAAGGGAGGGCGGCGGGAGCGGCTGGAGTGAAGCCCCTCCGTTCCAGGCCGTGTGTTCCACTCTGAAGCGTCCCTCGGCCGCTCCTTCCGCTGTCCTGCGTCTTTTCTCTGCCTAGCGTGGCTTTTCTCCTCCGCTCTTTCCTCAGGAGTGCCTCTTTTCCCCCTCCTCCGCCTCTATCTCTCTCGCCGTCCCTTCTGCCCTGTCCTCTCCCCCTGGCCGTTTCCTCCCGGACAAGCCATTCAGCTCCCCCGCAAGGCGAGATCCTGCATGGGTTTCTCCCACGGTGGAGACTAGAAGGAAGGGATGAGGTACTGTAACTAGTTACAAGTAACTGCACTCCCGGTAACTGAGAACTTCCAAGTTCAGTTTTTCTTCCCTGCCCCACCCGGTTCCCTACCTGAACCCTGGGAGGAAGGAAAGAGGTTGGGTGAGTTGTTTGAAGAAGTAGCTTTTATTAGTTGGTGGGAACATATTTGACAAAACAAATAAAACAAAAACGGGGAAAAAAATTATTTCACCTATTTTATTTATATTATTTATGTGCTGCCTTTTGTCTCATAGGGGGCCTAAGGCAGCTATTAACAGATGAGACAAAGAATTCCTCCCTTTTAACATGAGCTTCTTGGATCTAGTCCACTTTCTCAGACAAAAGAGTGAGACAGAAGGGCTGACAGAGGCATAAATGGCCCCACGACCAGGCAGGGATACAGGGGGTGGGCAAAGTGGCTGTTAGACACAGAGTAAGACTGAATAATTTCAATAATCCAAACAGTCTACAAGCATACAGTAGCATTGTTGGCAGAAGTGACAAACCTTTCTCTGCATTTTTGCACATTCTTTGGGAACCTGTTTGTGAATTACATCTAGCTGGAACACTGCCAGAGATAGCCAAAAACTTCTGCCATTCAAGACAAACTATAGCATGCTTTATCTCCTACACTTCAGTCTCCACCACTTCCTCACTAAAGAGGTCTGACGAACAGGAGAGAGAGAAGAGCGGCTGCCAGTTCAGGACGTCTAAAACCGAGAGGGACAAGAATGTGTTTTAGCATTTCATTTGTTTCCATTGCTGACATTTTAGACAATGAATTTTTGCAGGATTGTTGATAGACAAACTCAAGTGCTAAACACTTCCGCCCCATCGCTAGCCCAGGAGGTCTCTGGTATGGATGCAAAGCAGACAAAGCACTATAAAGAAAAGAGAGTATAATGCACTCTAGAAGGGGGGAAATGATCATGCTAAGGCAGGTTTAATAACACATAGCATGTTAGCGTGGTATATGAATACTGTACTAGGCACTGCTGATCTCTATTTATATTTAAGATTTAGTTAATCAGCTTCTTCTGCCCTAAAGTGTCTAGGATTTGTTTTCCTGGTATATACTCTGGTTTCAGTAAGTTTAAAGTGGGTTTCTGTGCTTAATGGGAGTGGGGATGTGATATGTTGCATGGGAATGACTGTAACTTTAATCCTTTTCCTTTAAGACCAGATTTTGAATAATTATTGACTTTAAACAGGCAGATACTTGACCATTTGGTAGAAAAATTGGGGTAACGAGCTACATTAGCTACAAACCCTCAATTTCACATTTCCTTGAGAACCTATGCCAAATGATTGTCCATTGTTTTATACAAGCCTGGGTTCTGTTCAGCCCCACAAGTGGATTCATAGTTATTATGCAAAAATCTTCAACATCTGCTAGTTCTGGTCCATTATGTTGTACAGACTATTTGGGTCCCCCTTTGAATATGAAATGAATATATCCAAAGTGATGGCTTGGAACATGGCAGAAAACAGATGTGGTCTTTCTTCTTACCAGATCTACACCAAATGCTTGTGCTAGCTATGTCCTGCTTCAGGCCAGAAGCCCCAACAGGGGTACCTCGACTTACGAACGTCTCCACTTGTGAACGATTCGAGTTACAAATGGCTCCATTTACAAAAAGTTGCTTCGACTTGCGAACGGAGCCGCGACTTAAGAACGAAAAGAACCCCTTTCCTGCCCTTTTTTTTAACCTAAATTCATCTTAGGTCAAAAGAAGAAGAAAAATCTCTCCCTAGTGGTAGAGTACGGATTAACCAGCTTTGCATTAGTTCCCATGCGCCCCAAAGCCCCCTGGCAGCCTGGGATTTGGGGAGGCGTCGTCCGAAACCGAATGCCCCCCCCCGACCTGGGTTTGAGGATGGGCAACAAAATGTGGTAGTTGGGTGTGTGTGTCCTGGCATAGAACCTGTTGTTAATTTATTTGCATCCCACCACTGGAACAAACCTATCCATTCTAAAGGAAATCAAACCGGGGTGCTCCCTGGAAGGACAGATCCTGAAGCTGAGGCTCCACTACTTTGGCCATCTCATGAGAAGAGAAGACTCCCTGGAAAAGACCTTGATGTTGGGAAAGAGCGAAGGCAAGAGGAGAGAAGGGGACGACCGAGGACGAGATGGATGGACAGGGTCATCGAAGAGACCGACATGAATCTGACCCGACCCCTGGAGGCGGTGGAAGAAGACAGGAGGGCCTGGCTTGTGCGCTGGTCCATGGGGGGGGGTCACGAAGAATCAGACTAAAGGACCTAAGGAAACGAATCGCTGTTGAGAAAAAAAGGGGGGGAGGGGCATAGATTCCATCCTGGGGAGGGAAGGGAGGGGGAGAGAACATAGAGCTACGAAAATGGAAGAGGAGGAAGAAAAGGAGGAGGGGTGCTTCTGTCGCTCCGTCCACCCACCGGAACCGGAAGTGGCGGCCGTGCCCCCTCCCTCTCTCCTCCCTTTTTCCCCTCTCGCCCCTCCCCCTCCGACCTCTTTCCCGCCTGAGGATCCCAACGGAGGTGGTGCGATTTGGGACCCTTTTTTTGGGGAGGGGAGGGGTGTCCCTAGAAAGATATTCCCCCTGAAGGGGGGCGCAGGAGGGGCCTTGTTTGTGTGTTCGTGTGTGTGTGTGTGTGGGGGGAAGACAGGCGTATGTGTGTGCACGTTTTTTTTCTCCCGGAGTCCCCGTTGTGGTTGTTTCCCCCTCCTCACCCCTCCTGAGCTTGAGCCCCCCCC